TTGAGATTTTGGTTTATTACACTTGCTCCTAGAATCTTGCAAATGCCATTTCTATTTATATCAAATGCTTTTACAAATTTTAAAAAGCACATATATGTAGGTTTCACTTCTTAGAGATATTCCGATTTTCATTATTTCTTTTTTTTAATGCTTCTTCTGAATGAAGAAAAAACATGGATGGGCCGAGAAATAGATGGAGAGGAAAGTGGTAACCGACGAAATTAAAAAAAAACAAAGTTACATACTAGAAAGTAATTGTAAGAGACCGAAAACAACCTTAAAACTATTCAAGCATCAATGGTCCTCAAAGTCATTTTTACTTACTGATAAAAAATTTAAAATAGAATGCAAACGCTGTACTGACAATAAGGCCATAATCATCTCAGTTTTTGAATTGAGTTGTATTTTGACACTGCTAGAAAATGGTATTCATAAAGAAGGTCTAAATATCTAAATCGATTTTACAATATTAAATATTAGAAAATGAATGGATATCATGAATCTACATGGAAACTTTATAATTTATGCTGATAAATAACTTCCACCAAAACAAAAATGTATATGAAATGTTTTCAAATGTAGTTTTTTAGTTTTTCAATCGAATTAGGTTAATAATGTTTAAAAACTAATCTCTCAAGTTTCATTATCCTAGAAAATGTAATTTTAAAAATGGAACTTTACTTCTTTAATAAAAAATGTGCGAGTAACAAAATATCCTTGCTTTGGAGATTTTTTAAATATGAATTAACTCTTCGTGTGTAATTATGAATTTTACTACAGACTGAATGAACTCTCTGCTTGGAAAAAGTTTTTAAATTCACTAGTTTTTTTTATCTTTTTTCTATGTATGTTTATATCAAAAATAAGTAAAAAATAAAAAACTAATACATGAAATTGGCTCCAACTTCCAGTGTGAATATAAATGCAAATGTTGAAGGATATAGAGAACCAATGCGGCAAAAAATGTTTTATTAGATTGTACAGTGTTTATTTTTTTTTCTCTGTTTGGTTTAACAAAAATATGTACTGCATGAAAAAAATATAAAATAATTGATTCACAAAATGGATTCTAAAGTACAACGCGTTTAATTTTAGGCCGGCACGATCATGCGTATTTATCAAATTATCAAACTAATTGAGTAATATTAAAAAATTTTGAGTTTTCCAAAAACACAATTTATTAGAAATACATTTTGCAGAGGCAGTTTGAAGCTGCGAAAGATAGGTTTTGGATTACAAACAAATAAAATTGTATTTATGCTCGATGAAATTTGCAATAAAAATTAATTACGTTCAGTTAGTTTATAAGCATCCATTTTTAAAATAAGTCAACTATTAGAACAGTTAGAATAAGCTATGTTGTAATTTGTTAACCATTCTTGAATTTGATTACTATTTGGTATTTTATGTACCAATGCAATACGCTTTAAAGCAGTGGTCGTCAACCTCTCAATGTGTTGAGCTACTTTGTTAATTTTGGAATAAAGCGAGCTACCCACACGGAAGCCACGTAACGCAACGTAAATGAAATAATCCAAAGTTAATTTATCATTATATGTATTTATTTTACTATTTAACTGGTAATATATAATACATAGGTACTAATAATAAACTAATAACAAAATAACTAATATTACTAGTACGTACTCGTTGATAGCTACATTCCTACCTACCAAACGGAGGTGTTTGAAAAATAAACACAACCTTCTATCCAGCCACAACGGCATGTCACGTAAGATTTAAAAATAGTAAATAATAACAACAAAAAAGTAACGTTCATGTTCATGTTCATGATAACATGAACATTGAAAAATAAAAAAGCACGTTCAATGAGAAGGCTGACACTCAGACTCATCGATCATTTTTTTAATGTTTGCAGTATAATTTGATACAGCCATTCGAATACAATTATCCAAATGTTCATCTGTAAGTCGATTGCGACATTTGTTCTTAATAAACTTCATATTAGAAGAAGAAGATTCACACAAATAGGTTGAACTGAATAATGCTTTCACTTTCAAGGCAACACGGCATAGAACTGAATATTTGTCTTTACTTACAATAGGCCAGATACATTTGGTACTTGAGACTAACGATTTTAAGGCTAAATCATTTTGAAACTCAATTACTTCCATTTCTGTTGCAGCGATATCTTCGCCAAAGTTCTACATAACACAAGTTGCAAACTGTTGGATATCAGTTTCCTTAAAGGGTGAAACAACAAACTGCGCTACTTAAGCCATTTCGTTGAAATCCTTAAAACGATTTTTAAAGTTATTCTTCAGTAAGGTGGCGCAAAAAAACCGACTATTTTTTTTTTTGAGTCTCGAGTGAAAAAATTTTCGTTTTTGATGTTTTAAGAGGCCTCTCCAAAGGAGAGCTCAAAAAAAATTTTTTAGAAGTCGCTCCAAATTTTTTTAAATTTCAAAAATCGTCAAAAATCGATTTTTTCCTTATTTTTTTTTTCTCGGTATGGTATAATTTTACAGACAAAAAAAAATAAATTTCTGAAAGTTTCAGTTCAAAATTTAAATTTTAAAAGGTTGCTCATAATTTTTTTAAATTTATCAGTGCATTACTTTAGATTTTTTCGAGCGACCTTTTAATATTCAAATTAAAATTCCATACATTTTATCTTTCTTATTTAGTGCAATAATCGATAGAAATACACCACAAGATGAACTAAAAGTCAAGCACAATATATAAAACATAATTTTTTTTAATTCAATAATTTTATTTAATCAACTATAAAATTTTGACGATTTTTTAAATTTAAAAAAACTTGGAGCGACCTCTAAAAATTTTTTTTTTGAGCTGTCCTTTGGAGAGGTCTCTTAAAATATCAAAAACTAACATTTTTTCACTCGAGACTCAAAAAAAAAAATAGTCGGTTTTTTTGCGCCACCCTATTCTTCAGGGTAGAAACTATTTCTACATGATATTTGCTGTCATAGGGTTCTAATGGATTTTGAGATATTTTTTCTGAAAGAATAGGAAAATGCTTGGCATCGCTGTTACTTAGGCTTTGTTCCCAAAACTCTAGCTTTTTGATAAGTGCTTTTATATCAGAAATCATTTCCGCTAGTTCTTTGTCTCTCCCCTGAAGCTGCAAATTAAGTTCGTTTAATTTCTCCGTAATGTCCACGAGAAAACCAAAATCTCTAAGCCAGATTGAATTTTTTAGTTCCGGAGTCGGTTCATCGCGTTGTTTGAAAAATTGAACTATGCCAGATAGGACATCATTAAAACGTTTCAGCACCCGTCCTCTACTTAACCATCGGACTTCAGAGTGAAGGAGTAGGTTACTGTATTGACAGTCAACTTCATCGGCCAAGGTTTTGAATAATCTTCTTTGTAACGCTTGGCTCTAATCTTGTTCACAATTTCTACCACCAGTTTCATAACGTTGTTTAGTTTCAGGAAATTTCCACATAATGCTTGCTGATGGATAATGCAGTGGTAACAGAGAAATTGCGGAAAAGTTTCATCCTTACGACATAACGCCACTAGACCCTTATCACAACCCATCATAGCTGGAGCGCCATCGGTTGTCATGCCTACCATTTTCGATATTGGAATTTTCTCGGAAGAAATAATATTTTTTAAATGAGAAAACAACTCCTGTCCAGTAGTGTGTCCTTTCAGTGGAATAAACTTCAAAAGATCTTCTTTAATCGTAAAATCACTAAAAACCATCCTGACGAACACGGCCATCTGGGCAGTGTCAACATCATCTGTTGATTCATGCAGTTGAAGTGAAAAATAAACACAGTTATCTAAGTCAGTTCTTAACTGTAAAAAAATATCATTGCTCATTACTTCTACACGTCTCATCAATGTATTAGCAGAAAGTTGCAAAGATTTTATAGCTGAAACTATCTCGCCTTTATTTCTAAAGTTGGCAAATAACGAATCAGCAGCTTCTAAAAACGCCTATTTTATCATTTTCCCGTCTTCATAAGGTTTCTTTTTTTGTGCAATTATCACACGGTATGATGCTTCAGTTGCAGCCTTATTTTTGTCGACTGTTCTTAAAAATATTGATTGTTGTCCAACTAACTACTTTTTTAACTGTTTCAGTTTCTCTTTTCTGGCGGAGCATGTAGTGGGAATGATTTTTCAAAATTAGAATGTACAGTTTTATGATGTCTCTCAATATTTTCTTTTTTAGCAACGGAGACCGAAGTATTACATAATAAACACACATTTTTATCTTTAACTTCTGTAAAAAAGTATTGTTCTTCCAGTCCGAATGAAAGTGGTATGTCTTTACCTTCTTACAACTTCTTGCCATAATATTATTTTTTGTTGTTCTCTACTAACCCAACCGCTGGACGTTGGTTACGCGTTCAGTTTTAAACTAAGCGCAATGTCGCCGCGCCGTGCGTATTTATCCCGTTCAAAGCAATCCTGATCGTTCTCGAACACTAACGCGCTGGTCCGGCTGGTCGATTCTAGCCGATTCTAGCTTGATGGCGCTCACCGCAACGTTGCCGCTGTTTATGTTTAATATTATTACAATTAGATTTTTTTATGGAATTTTCGGAAGCTTCTCTGATTTTTGTAGTTTGTTTTTTTAAATTAAAATCGTTGTGAGAGTTACCAGAATTGCCTCCGCGAGGTACCGGTAGCTCACGATCGACAGATTGGCGATCACTGCCTTACTGTAACAAATGTTTTGTTAAAGTAAACCTCGTATTTATAAGACATTTATTATTAATTATAATATTTCCTCAGTTAATATTTAAATAACTTATTCCTACCATACGATATTTTAAATATAAACTAATTTTTTATGTCAGTGAAGCCACTATTTATCACATATTCCAGCTGTAAAAATGCTCAAAAGGAACGTTTTTTAAACAGATTTAGTTTTAGATATTTTAGAGTATTATTTAAACAATAAAACATTTTAAAATCTGAAAGTTCCGTAATATTTATTTAACACAGATTTAAATTAATGATACATGTTACTTAATATAGTTTTCTTTTTGTTACAGGAGCTGACGTACTTAGAATGCCGTGGCTGTGCCTTAAAAACATTAAACAACGACATATTTCACCTCTTGCCCAATTTGATCCACCTCGATTTAGGCAGAAACGAATTCAGGAACGTAACCTCAAACGACTTGAAGGATTTGCAAAGTTTACGACATTTAAAAATCGATGGCAACCTGATCACTGCCATAGACAACTCGACGTTTATTCATCAAGCCGCTTTGAAGCGACTTAGTTTGGCGAATAATAGGATTTCGAAAATATCAGCCGGAGCTTTCGCGGAAAATCATAACTTAACAGAACTCGATGTGAGTTATAATCGAGTTAATGATATGCAGTTTCTCGAACCGCTATATGATATTTTAGAAAAGCTAATACTCAGCGGTAATCATCTGAGGATGGAATCGTTGAAGTACTTGGTGTATTTAAGTGTTTTAAAAGAGCTGAGACTTTCCGACTGCGGTTTGGCGCAAGTAGACTTCGAAGTAATTCCTAAGAGCGTCGTTATTTTAGATTTAAGCGAAAACTATTTATCAACGTTAGAGAAGGAGATTTTGCCCCTTAATCTAACCACGTTAGATATATCAGGTAATCGATTTAGAGGTTTAGAAGAAGATTTCCTAATGGCTTTGGATAATACGCAAGATCTAAAATTGGATCATAATTTGTGGTCGTGCGATTTGTGTCACATAGTCCCGATGTTGGAACGTGCGAATCGCAGCGAAGTTTTCCGCGAAGTTTTGTGTTCCGCTCCTTACACGGTCAAGGGTAAAAAGCTGGAACGCATCGATAGGAACGATTTAACCTGGTGCAATTCCCCGAGTTACACGGCTAACGATGCTAATTTCTTTTCAATAGGCGAAGACGGTAAAGTGGGCATCCTCGTTGCCAGCACTTCTGTTTTCCTTCTCTTTTTAACGGTCATGGCGATAATTGGGGCGTTATGTTACACAAATCGACACGCGGCCAGATACTACACCCACGAGGATAAAATTGCTACTATCGAAGGGGAATCGATATTCGGTAGTAATCACAGTCCGTTGTTTTGCGACGGAGAACTGAATTTCAAGTTCCCCCTAGACGGCATCGAGGAAAAGAAAATTTCCATAGCTACTATTGATGAGATTAAAAAGGAGCACACGATCGCCAATGGGACTTGAATCGGTTTTGTAGGCCGGTAGCTAAAGATTTTCGATTGTAATAATGTAAGTTTTCTGAATCTGTTGGAGAAAATCGATGAATTTACTAGGGGAAATAATTTCAATAAAAGATCGTTCGTGTATTTTTGAACTGGTTTGTTTATATTTTCAATCAGAGTTTTAACGATAAAAGTATATTATCAATAAAAATGATAGAATAGTGTATATTTGGCATTTTCTAAGAAAATGGTTTCAAATAACAAATTCTAACATCATAGTATGATAACTGTACAAAGTAGGCTTTTTCCGATTTGTCATAACTTGACATTATTGGCGCTCTAACGTAACAAAGATACTTTGACGCTTGCTTATTTTTTTGCAGTAAATAAAATTAAGGATAATCGGTGTTTTAAAACAAAATCTAGACTAATCTGAATATTTTAGCAGGACATCTAATATTCAAATGTATTTCCCTTAATAAACATTCAAAACGCTTCGCTGGCGGTGCCTGTCAAATAAACTTTTTTAGTAAATTTTAATTTGGTAATATCATGTGATCGTAGAAAAAAACTTGCATGTAACTCGGAAAACTATTTTCCGCTTACGATAAATTTCCGATTTTATTATACAAAAAGTCATTTTGCTCTTTTTTGAAACATTTGTTTATAATTTCAAGCTTATATACAGGATGGGCCACCGGTAACGCCTTGGTCTGTAAAGCGATAAATATACGGGTTGTCCCGAAATTAGACGGTCATATTTTAACAGCGCAATTTACATCCTAAAATAGAAATAAAAGTTCATATAAACATAGGTCCGGAAACGTTTTGTTTTCGAGATACAGGGTGTTATGGGTGATGGCACATTTTTGTAAATATTTTCTAAAATTTCGACAGTCAACGGTTTTCCAAAGTTAAAAAAAAAATAAAATTTCTGATTTCACAGGTCCACTAATTATTGATTACACTTTCAAATAAGATAACATTAACTTATCATGAAATGTTCAAATGCTTTTTTTTTTGAAAATGGTTCCTCCTAGCGAGATACAACAAAAGTAGCTTTGTTATAAAGAAAACATTGGTTTTTCAAATTTTATAGTCAAAAATGTTAAAAACTGTCAGCAAAAAAAACTTAGGGCAATTTTGCCCTAAGCCCCCCTAATTTACCCACCTATTGTACCAAATTTCACTTAGTTCTCTTAAATGGTTTAAAAAATATTTACAAAAGAGTGTCATCAGGATTTCACTTTTAACATCCTGTATCACGGAAAAAAAAACCTTTTCGGATCTATGTTAATATGAACTTTTATTCCTATTTTAGGATGTAGATTATGCTGTTAAAATATGACCGTCTAATATCGGGACACTCTGTATATATTTTTTTAAATTTTTTTTTACAGCAAGATGTATATCAGTAAAGGTTACATTTTAAAAATAATTTTAGTTATACAGGGTTCTCCAAGAAAGTGATACATAAAAAAGTTAGGTTTTTTTAAAAGGAACATCCTGTATTTTATTTTGTATTTGAATTCTCCTCGCCTTTTCTAGTATAATAAAACCAAAAAATATGGGATTATACAGGGTATTTCACAAGCTATAACCAGTTTTATATGCAGAACGTGTAGATTTCAATGACCTGCATGGTGCAAAAGTATAACCAATTTTTTGCAGTAAAAGCTTTTCGATATTAGTCAAAATTTATGCCGATGCACTACTTTTTTCAATTAGAAACAAATTTGAACAGGGTGAGTCAAAACTCAAATACATAATTTTCTCAGTATTTTCAAATTTTATATTACCATTTAAAAGTACCTTGATTAAAGTTTCATTTGAGTTAAGCATTCCCTATACCTAAAGTGATTTTGGGAGATGTTTAAATTTAAATGAGAAAAAAGATAATTCACAAAATACTCCAATTTTAACTGGTCACTGGTAATAGGAAATAGGACTATCTGTTAATTGACAATTAAAATTTCTCCAACTATAATTGAGTCGCTCAGAAGCATAGTGGGTCTCCTATTCATCTGTTTCTGGTCCAATATCACCCATCTTCTACTTGTTCGTTTGTCTTTAAACTGGTGTAGAAATCGTGACACACTGGAAGGAGACTTTGAAGATCTTTGTATTTTAATTTTTCTATCGGTCTTCCAGTAGGGTAAAGGATGTCCAAATAAAAGGCTTCAGTTTTCATTAGAGAAACCTATGCTCTTTTTTTAGAAACATTAACACTATAAAAAAGTACATCCTCGTTGTTAGAATATTTAAAATAAATCTTGAACGGTTCTTCAGCTTTAAACATTAACCACTGTATTTTCAGCCATTCTACTTTTATGTCTTGTTCCCTTTTTTTCATGTTTGTGAGTAGCGCCTCTAGCCTAGTGGTACTTTTAAAGTCTTCAGATTTAATTTTTACTATCTGGAACTTGTTAGTTTTCTTGGCGCTAGAAATAACTTTAACCCAGTCATCTGGCAAAAAAATATCATGGTAAAGTCGTTTTTGTTTTTCGATCGTCCCAAAGTCTCTATCACAGGGAAAGTAGGAATGACCGGAAACAAGAAAGTTATGGTGTATGACTGTGGGAGTAAAATCATTGGGGACCGTCATGTATGTACAAATAGATGTTAATTTTATATTTCGGTTCTGATCTCTGCATTGGTCGCTGCATAAGATAAAAATTATTGTTTTTACAAAGGTTCTCATGTAGTGCATAATGCAAGAGCCAATTTCTTGCGGACCCCGTGAGGCCATACCCTCATACATGTGTGCTTGACCTGTGGTGAGATTGTGTATGCCCAAACAATAAGCCCATAACTGTCTTTTATAATATACCACTCCCGTAGAAATAATGGGAGTTACTAAAGTTTTCATCAAATCAAACGCGATGGTCACTGTGCTGTCCTTTTTTTTGTTGCATCTTTCTGCAAGCCATTTTAAGCCCCTTCTGCCATCCGTAGGTATAACTCTTTGTCTCTTTCCTCTGTGCTTTTTTCCACACCATTAGAGTTTTTTATTTTTATGTTATAAGAATCACATCTTTTGCAAGTATCGGTCACAGGGTACCGAAAAGGAAGAATAAAATCTTCATTAAATATTTTTGAAAAGACAAATTTGGATACCTTGCTTTGTACATACAATTCAAATAGTTTAGTAATATTTAAATCGGATGAAAGATACTCTCGATTCGGATTTTTCTAGCGGCTACAGTGAGCAAACCTATTTATAAAGTCATTTACGTTTTGAATATTATTCTTAGAAGTCTTATTCTTAGGAGGCTGCTTTCCCCTCTTATCTAACAGCAGAGTGGTAAGTTCGCCACCCTTTCTCTTGTTTATCAAATGATTTGCAAACAGTTACCATGTCACCTAATTCTATTGGCAATGTATATATTCGTGTTTAAGAATGTTTATTAGGATTCTGAACTGCTGTAACGCGTCCTTTATTCACACTATTTACTTGCGCGCTTATGTAAGTAGTTTGTAAATTAAAATTGGGTAAGTTGTAAAAATTTCGGAAGATAATTTTTTTTTCTTCAATAGTTTAAAACGAATGGCACTTTCGATGACAGCTACAAATACCATCAAAAAATTTCTTCTCGGGAATAAGATTACCACGAGAGTTTAGATAGTATTTTCCCGACTTCCTTTTTATCTTAGAGTTATGCCTTGCCAAACCTTGCTTATTTTGTTTTCGCTTTTTATCCTTATTTGACATAGGTTCTAAACTAGCAACTTCATTTTTCTTTCAAGCTTTGCTCTGATATGGATGACTCAATATCTAATGATGGATGGAAGTCAGATCTAGAATGAGTCTCAAATTCACTTGGCTCACAAACACTGGATGTATCAGACAATGACATTTTTAACCTGAAACAAAGAAATCTTGATTATTTATATCAATATTCTTAAAAATTAAGAACATTTTACAAGTCTGGCAACAACGCTTTATAAAGCAGTGAGGTTTTCCCATTGTATTGCTAAATACATTTTAGGTTATAATCTTAGAAAAAAATACTTTCAATTCACGTCCAAAATCAAGTAATCTAAACCACTTTTTGTGTAAAATACAAGTAGCTACTTACCTTTACTTAAATATTCACATATCCAGATAAAATAAAAAGTTTATTATATACTTAAAGAATGAATAAACATGAGACGTAAGTAACACATCCACAGTTACCGGCAAATACAAAATCAAAAACAACAGACTGACCCAACTGTCACTTGGGCCACATTTCCGTATTAAAAAGTAATGCAATCCCGATGCGGCTCAAGTGTTCAATTTACGCCATCTACTGGGTAATAGAGAAAGTTTGTTTGGCCACTATGAAATAAAATATAGGCAAAATACTTCTTTTGTTGGGCCTAACTCAATTATGCAAAATTTTGAGTTGGGCCACTCTGCTTCTGAGAGACTCAATTGTTATTAAGTGAAATTTTGACAGATTTTATTTAATTAGAAAAATGTATCTAAGTAGCGTTCAATATTATTTATGGTGGGTTTCAAAAATCCAACTTACATTTCTAAACATTTTTTAACTAACACTCGAATTACTTCAATTATTCACCACCAAAGGTCATATTAAAAATTGGCTAGGGTTTTTTAAAAATAGTAATGACGTTAGTAATAAGGTATTGAGATTTCCAAGTTAACTAAAAAATATAATGAAGTTAGAATAATAATAAAATGTTCTGTGATTTTTTTGTCACTTAAATTTAAAAATCTCCTAAAATTATTAATGCCTAATTCAATGAATTTTTAATTAGGGTACTTTTAAATAGTAATGTAAAATATAGGGTGGTTAATTTGAAAAAACTGAGAAAATTATGTATTTGAGGTTTGACTCACCCTGTCTACATTTTTTTCTAATTGAAAAAGTACTGCGTTGGCATAAATTTTGACTAATATCGAAAACTTTTCATCACAAAAAAAATTGGTATTCAATTTTTTCTTTTGCACTATCTAGGTCATTGAAATCAATGCGATTTTCATGTAAAACTGGTTGTAGCGTGTGGAATACCCTGTATATTTTTTCATACTGTTTGGTATTGTTATAATTGAAAAAGCAATAGCAATTCAAATATAAAATAATATACGGGGTGTTCCATTTCAAAAAACATAACTTAGATATGTATCACTGTTTTGGAGAACCCTGTATAATTGAAATAATTTTTACGTTGTCTTTTTTGTTATACATCTTGCTGTGAATACAGATTATAAAGAAATCAAATAATTTTGATTTCACAGGCCGAGGCGTTACCGGTGGTTCACCCTGTATATAAGTTATATGTTTAGTTTACTATTAAATTTACCTTTTCTACGATGGATTATTCTTAGTACTTTTACTATTTGAATTGTATTGATTAGAGTGATGAAGAGAAGGGGAATGATGTATGACAGTTAAATATAATATCGGAAGGTGTCCCGCTTGAAATAAAAATCTACCTGTCTTCAAAATATTCTAAGATACAGCTGTTACAGACATCCTATATAACTTAAATCACTTATAAGATCCTTTATCGATACAATAGCATGTATTATTACCTACAATTCCTACAACTTCTTTCCTTTTTTTTACATTTATAATATTAAAATCAAGGAACATAACAAAGAGTAAATTCAAGATCTACTTTAAAAACATTCTTTTGGATTACTCCAAATAAACCTTGTTTTTAGGATGCACTAAATGTATGTATTGATTGATTTCAATTCGATTATCCAACTCTTCCTTCTTCGGTACGACCTTGTCTGCTAGCTACTGATTTGTTCCATCATATATATCCAAATAAAATTTATAAATATTAAAATTGAAAGTTACTTTATATCTATTTATTTCAAAAATGATTTTAACAATGAATGTTTCTAAATCAAATTCCTTCTCTTATTCTATTAACATCTTCCAATACAATTCTTAACTTTTCAAAAACCTGACAATATTATTTCTCTCTTAAACTTCTTTATTCAAAAATTCCCTCTTCCATCAAAATTTACTTTTGCCCAAATCATTGATTTTCTCATCTTTTTAGGACCAAATTAAATTTTTACTTATCCAAATTAGGTTATCAATTTTATCATTATCAGTATATATCAGTATATTAGTATAAACTGTTCCAGGCATTTATTTCAGTTAAAAGTCTTACAACGCTGCCTTCTTCCATTTCATTCCCCTTTTCTTTTCTTTTTATTCTTCCCTTTCTTAACTTTTGGTATCTTCCAAGCTATGTATTTAACATATCTGTTTTGTTCCATCCGTTTCAGATAACCAAAATTTTTGGTGCATTATACACTGCATATATTTCGTTGTTTGTACATCTCATCCAACCTTCTTTGTTTCCTTTATCTGTAGATTTTTCTCACTGGTTTACGTTTTATAGAGTGAAGGGGTGTGGATTCTTGAAATTCGAAACTACCAATCCACGACCACATCACCCTGTATCTCCATAGTCGTTGTTTATTGACTGGTTCGTTTTGTGAGAAACAATATTTATTGGAATGAAACTTTAAAAACTCTATTACCTCGAAGGATTATCTTAACTTTACGGCGTTAAGAAACCTTTACAATTAATTTACATTAAACCCTTATCATACTATTTGCAAAAATTAAAACTAAGAACGACTCCTCACAACTGAAGTCTGAAACCAACTACCCTTCGTGATGTTTTTAAGATACCTCCTCGATGGACAGAAAAAGCGATCACACTTTCAAAGCACATGTCAATTTTCAGAGGAATGCAATTTTGTAACATTTGTAGTAGGAAACTCTCTCAATTGTAGTCAAGTCGGAATTTGAAATACGAAGAATCCTTTATGTTGCGACATTAATTTACAACCGAATTATTTACAATGAAATGTTTTATTACTTAAGTGGTTCAAAGAATTCGAACATAGAGTATACTGTTAGTCTCATTACTGTTTGGTGCAATCTTCTTTTTTTTCGTTAGCCTCTATACCTACGTTGAAACCTGCATTAATTTTAGTGTAGCCTTCCAGAACATCTCTTAGTCAGTCTAAAGTGGATCCCTGCTCGTCGATTAAGATTTAGTTTTTTAAAGATTTCTTTCCCAGTTAAAGAATATCTATCAAAAATAATGCCTTTACAGTCATGTTACTTAAACATTTCTCTTGAGTGTTTTGCTTTCTCACCAACGTTGTGTTCAACAAATTCGCAAAATCAAAAAATCGTTTTATGTCATTTCAATCACATTAAACTGTTTGGCTTTATTTGTGCAACGAATTAAGGTTGCCCAGTCATGGGGATGAGATATTTTCATACCTAATTTTTTTTTATTTTTCTTTGAGTGAGTGATCACAATCTCACTCCATGTGCGAATGGCCGGACAACATAAATTTGTGATATTTCTTCCAGTGAAGGTTTTTTGGTTATAAGTGCTAGCAGCAAGATGAAAATTTTTGTTCTGTCCTCCACAGGTGTCGGAGTCATTGTTATTTTCTTCACTTCTAGTGGCAATATTATTAATTCTTTGTACAAACATGAAGCTATTTCATTTGCTTTTCTTATAGATATTGTTTCGTGCCACAAATAACAAGAGGCATAACCAGATGCACAATTGTGTATACTAAGATTGTCCAGTATTTTCTTTAATAAAATGATACCGAGGTTTCCAAGTAGGACTTAGGCAAGTACTGCTAAAGATCAAAGGTGTAACATCTAGATAAATTGCCATTTTTAGCTTCTTCTTTATCTCTGTTTTTACATTTGTAGGCGGTATCAGCTTCAATATGGTGTCGCTTTTCGGCTTCTTGTAGATCACTAATTTCCTCTTATTAATGGCTAACTGAATCTGCATCTGTAAAACTTTACATCTGTGACAGAGGTCAGTTTTTGGATTTTTGAAAGCCAGCTTAAGCTTATGAATTTCTTGTTCATACATTTTTCGATCGACGGGATTTTCATGACATTCTCGATAGAGATTATACATTTCTAACAAATTTAGATCTGATGGTAAATATTTTTTGTCATTCATTCTGCGAGTATAATAGCTTTCATATTTTGGGAATGAATCTATATGCGTATGAGCTAAAATTTCTGCAAGCTGCAACTCCGTTGTCTTGTTAGAGGGTGCATGTTTACCTCTTAGGTCATCTTTGACAATGCCGGTAACGCTATTCTTTTTATTTCCGAAACAATTTCTAATAAATTTTTCCGTTTCGTTTACTATTCCTTTTACAAACTTTGCGTCGTTGTCCGTCAATCTAAAAGGCGCAATTGTAAGTAACATTTCTTGATTTTTTAGAGTTCTCCTTTCGAACTCTACAAGTATTGACTGCAGCCGATGTAACAAGTTTATTGATGTAGCCGACTCTCTTGGAATGATTTTGCTGTCCCAAATATTCTTTAAAAATTGTTTCTCTGGGTAAGCCAATCTCTACATCTATGTCTACAATTTTTTAGATCTTTCAGTTCTCTGCTTTTAATAACTCTCCCTTTGGTGCTACAAATTTTTGCCCAGAAATTCGTTTAAGTGTTCTTTCCTTTCTTAACCTTCTCGAAAATGACTTTGGCCTTCGGCTAATATTCCATTATGTTCTTCATCTTCTGGTTCAATATTTTCATCGTTTTCGTTTTCAAAATTTTCAGTAGTAACGTTTTGCTCAACTACAAAGTCTTGAATATTTTCAGATAGTATGACTTGCTGCATGTGCGTATTTTGTTCTTCTTGTTCCAATATTCCCATCCTCTGATTGCTTATTTGTTTTTTGGGTATATTTTTTATATTCATTCATTTATTTTTCTTTTTACTCTTATTATATTTTTCAGCCTTATTATCTTCGCTACTGCTTTCATCTTCATCGCTATAGTTGTCTTCTGAATAACAGTTAAAATCTGAATCCTGTAAACTATTATCACTATTCCATTCTTCATTTTCATCTAAAAAAAACCTTTACTTCCAAAAAACTCTGTTCCAATTATTTGTATTTTAAAGTAGCTAAAGTAGATGTTACAATATTGTATTTTGAGAAGTATGTTAAACCTGAACATTGAAAAAGTCGTTCAAATAGGTACTACAAAAAGTAATACCTATAAAAATAAAATAAATGCAGTAAAGTGTTGCACCAAAAAAATAAGATTTTATTTACCAATCTTCAATTCTATTCTTGGTTTCTTGGACACTGAAACTTCAGCTTTTCCTTGAAGCTCTATAACGTCGTTAAAATTTCCAACTTGTTCAAAAATAACATTTTCATCTAGCAGTTTTCATATGTTTGAACTACAGTTAATATCTTAGAGTTTTGTAAGGGTATTTAATTTTTTCTTTCAAGTGAATCATTTTCCGTAAGTTCCTTTACGGTTTCGATGTCACCTACTTCTGGACCGAATTTTTTTTCTAACTTTATAATACTTACCAATATCTGGTTTCAACATTGTCAATATTTTTTGCCATCTGCTTGACATTTTTATGATATTTTTTTTCAATTCTATAGCACATTAACAATGTAAAATGAACCAAAATATAAATCAGCTGACCGCTTACGAACGATACAAAGGGCTTAAGTCCAATTGAACAGTTTGACTATGAAGACTTATCTTCACTTAAGCCTTTATGATTCGTTTCTAGCAGTGCTCAAAACGGCATAAGAAACTTAAGTTTATTTTACCAGTTTAAGTTGAGTTATGTCTTTAAAACCAAATACTCTGTATAAGTTATTAATGGGAATTGACTTACGCTACTTTTACCGGTGAAGTAACTCGAAATATTAAGTCAGACAAAGGAGATAAGTCGATTCAGACATTTTATGACTTAAGTCCTTTTGCTAGCGCATTAGAGAATTAGTAATCTTAGATGCATATACCCATATTAAATCCTACTTAACTTTTTCCATTATTTCAGAAATGGTACTCGTATTAATCTCAACTTCACCTCAATGTTGGTTTACAATAATTAACAATATGTTTGTGTTAAAAATCTGATATTAGTTCTAACTTTTAAACTAAGTTCAGATAGGAACTTTATTTGAAATATATAATTTTTCAATTACATCAAGTTTATCTATTTAAAAACTGCCTGTGACTGGTAAATGGAGTTTTCTTTCGAATCTTATTCAGGTTATGATAATTCGTTTGGAATACGCTTATTAATTAAATTAAATTAATTTAAAAGCAATTCGTCTATTCTGTAAATTGACTGAGCAATTAAATACAAATATTATAAAAAATATTTTAGAGAAGATACAAATATATATGGATAAATTCAATAAAATAGAAAATAGTAAAGTTAAATATAAAACATGATATATCTAAAATTAAGGAGGTCCTTTCGCCACCAATGTTAAATAAAAAATATTAGATTATGACTAAAATTAATTTTTTTCTAATAGTAGATGTCCTTATTTATCTAATAGTGAACTTTTAACTATACCTTACCGTGCAAATTTTTGAGAATTTTTTTTTAAAAATGTGTGTGTTTGTACAGTGTCTTATGAGAAAGTAAGACTTCAACAACAATTTTCGAATTATAATTAATTTTACTATTATTTATTGATTAGACGGAGTAGAAAAAAACTAAAAATAAGGTTTTTGAAATATTTAGGTTTTGTTTTTTACAATAAAATATATAGGTTACCGTGGAATTTATTAAGAAATTATTATTAAAAAATCACAAAAAATTTTGAACTAGGTTACTTGAAAATTTTTTGTGATTTTTTAATATTAATTTCTTAATAAGTTCCACGGTTTATATATATATATTTTATTGTATAAAACAAAATCTAAATATTTCAAAAACCTTATTTTTAGTTTTTTTCTACTCCATCTAATCAATAAATAATAGTATAATTCGAGAATTGTTGTTGAGGACTTACTTTCTCGTGAGGCACTGTACAAATACTCACATTTAAAAAAAAAATTCTCAAAAATTTGCAAGGTAAGGTATAGTTAAAAGTTCAGTATTAGATAAATAAGGACTTCAACTATTAGAAAAAAATTAATTTTAGTCATAATCTAATAACTTTTTTTTAACATTTGAGGCGAGAGGTGTGGCGAAAGGACCTCCTTAAGTGAAAAAATACAATTTATATAAAAATATATTCTCCAGAAATGGTAACATTTTTTTATACCTGAACTTCGGACCATTTCAATAATTTTCAGTCTGAGATTATCCAATGTCAATTACGAAAAATTATATAAACAAACCAAATAAAAATAATTTCTCCAACAAATTCCATCTCTACCAAAATATAATATTTAATAATTTTGTATAATATTTAAAATTGATCCTGTGTATCCTGTTGTGAAAAATTATTACATTCAGCGTTTGAATATCAATTTCGTCTAGGAAACTATAAATATAAATGTAAATAATACACTTTGAATGTGCCATAATTTGTTGAAAATTGTTACACTTTAAATATTTCGTAGTTTAAAATGCGAATAAATTTTCAAAACCCCTTAAACGTAATATTATGTCTATTTAATAGAAATTGCTAAATACACAGTGCTATTATATGTATAATGTATATTTTTTATAATAAGTGTAAAGAAATAATTATTTCTATATTTTATATATTTATAAAAGTGATTTGTGTCCACTATTTCAATACATATTTGTGTAATTAATAATTTTAGTTTGTAGTATTTATACCTTGAATTTTGATATTATATCTATTTATACCATTTCATTAAATTATTTTTTTTTAATTTATTATCAAATATGCTTCTGCTAAGTAAGAAGTACAAAAATCAAAAAATATATTTCAATAATTTTACTATTTTTATTTCAAAATAATACCAAACATTTTAAGAAATTGTACATAATGTACTTAATTTAAGACTCTATTATAAAAAGAAACTATCGTGTGATTAAATTAGTTATTAGGATTTGTATTATTAATTTAAATTTAAGTAATTTTACATTGATTTTGTATGCATTTAAATACTTTTCTGATATATACATTTTTTTTTATGTACAGATTAACTGTGAATTGTTTAAATAAAGTTTAATGTTTTAACGGTTTATTATTTTTAACACTTAACAAGTAGCAGTAAATCCCTTCTGCTTTATTTTTTAATAAATAGATCAGGTTTCCTAAGATTGATGAATATTTTAAATCTGTTGTCAGTTTACAATGACTACTACAACTACCTATAGAAAGAAAAAACATTTCCAAAAATAAATGTGAAAACAACATAACTTTGAATAATGGAAAGCACGGAATTTAATAGAAGGTAAGTTAAAAACAGTATTTAAAAATGCACACAATGCGCAAAAATGGAACTTGAAACACAAGATATTCTTAATCCAACAAAATGTTTTTGTATAATATAATTAAGGTATTTACAAAATAACATTCGGTGCTTCCCCAGAGTTTAAATTTTCGCTGCGTCTAAATACACACTAACGTGTACGCGAATTAGGGATTTATGTGCATGCGAAACGTCATTAACACATCCCCAACTAGTTATTGATAAAAGTGTACTTGCTGTGAAGGCAAGACCCTAAACATTCCATTTCTAAATCAGAGTGAGAGAACCGATTAATCTGGCTTAACACGGCAACAGCGCGTCACCGCCTGCTAACCGCATTGAAAACATCCATAGGCGTAGGTATCAGTCGTAAAAGGAAATATTTAATAATTATTAATTTTCTCAATAAAATTCAAATTTTATAATGATTTCACTATACAAATTTATTGAACATTACACTTTAAATCTTCATTTAATGAATATCCGTTTTAAAAATGACAAATTAAATGTAATATTTTTACAGGCTTCAATTTAAATCTGTTAAAACTCATTTCACATGAAAAAGTTAGTCGCTACGCCCTGTTTTGACGTTTTTTTTAGGTATATGACCATGGATGATTTCAGGCATATTCATTTCTAGTTTCCAAATTTTGTTTTTGTTTTTTAAAACAATATTTACTGTCTAACTCATTTCATATTTTTATTTACATTCTTTATTCTTAATAAACATTAAGAATAAATTATTGTATTCAGTTTTAGGCAGGTACAATTTTACACCTTTGATAGAGAGGAATATAGAATAGTTAAGAGGATTACCCTTCTTCCTGTAGGTACATATTCCTTAAATATTCCAGTATAATTCCCTTGTACATTCATTTATCTGATTTGAGAAAAACCAAAGATGTTGAAATGTTTAACTTTACATTGATACGTGTAAGATAAGATTAGAAAAATATACAGTGTGTAATTTACTGCAATATTTCGATTTCTGATAGGTTTTTAAAAAAGGTATAATTAACATTTTTATGAAATGAATCAAGTTTATAGTATAAGTGGTTAGTTACTGTATTATAACTTCAATAGAGTACGAAAAACTGAAAAAATATCCATGGTGTACTATTTAAAAAAAATAGCATTAAGTCGTTTTGGGTAAATTTTATTAACATTAGAGTAAGGCGATATTTCACATTTTCACAGACATTCATTATCTTTTAATAAATGTTTTTCAGAAAAATATTAGCCAATATTTAATTACAATAAAAACAATAGTGTAATTGAGAAATCACACCTCATTCATCTATAGTTTTCTCTAAATTGACATTACTATGTTTAAAGTTTTAGATGTAGATACTTTTTTAAATCATTATTAAGGTAATTACAGCACCCTCTCACCTCCTTATAATTTTCGGATAAGCATATCTCAAAAAGTAATTTTTTTTTAAATTAAAATTTTGGCAAAATAAATAAGGCAATAATATCTAAAATGTGCTTATATTTTAAAGTTTTAGTTATTTCCAGTTTCCAAGAAAAAAAATCAAAGGGCTTTAAATTTTGAAATATCATAATGAAAATAAATACATTCCTTAACAGCAGTATTCTTAATATAATTCCCAAATTTAAGCTTTTAATCTCATGTTAATGATTTTTTAAAATTCGCCGAAATTAGTGCTGTTTTCTAGTGTAACGCGTCTGTAACTATCGTATCGTACACTCTGAGTTATCATTCGTTTCTTGCAACGATTTACACCAGTTTACACCAGAAAATAACACTTAACGAGGAATTTTAGCCACTAATTTCGGCGAATTTTAAAGAATCATTAACAAGAGATTAAGAGCTTAAATTTGGGGATTATATTAGGAATAGTGCTGTTGAGGAATGCATTTATTTTCATTATGATATTTCAAAATTTAAAGCCCTTTGATTTTTTTTTCTCGGAAACTGGAAGGAATTAAAACTTTAAAATGTATGCATATTCTAGATATTATTGCCTAATATATTTTGCCAAAATTTTAATTTTTTAAAAAATTACTTTTTGAGATATCCTTGTCCGAAAATTATAAGGAGGTGCTGTAATCATCTTAACTTATTGGGCAATTTCAGGATTTTGTCCGTATTTCACGACTCACTTGTCCTGAATTTCAAAAAAACCTTTATGGAAACTGTAACGTACCTTTCACTGGTTCCTTTATGATTTATTAATTTCATTTTATTAACGAAATGTTGTATTATTAAATTCAAATTCTTACATTAACAAAAAATGTTTTAGATAACTCCTATCTATGATGTTTAATAAATAAAAGGAGTATTTCCGTTTGGGATGTCTCTAATATTACAGAAAACATAAAAAATTATCCCATGAGAATTCGATCCAAAAATCTCTATAAACATGTTTATTTTCACTAAGTAATAATCACTAAAATACTTAACCAGCTTATATTTCTAGTTTCAAGAAGTTCTTAAGGCACATAATAAATCTACCATCAATTTTTATCCAACCAAGTTCGTTCTTATCAGAGCTACGACAAACTGACGTCACAAAAAACCATTAAAACGGGTATAAAAACCCTAACCTAAGGAGCTCGAGATTCATTCATTATGATTTTATATAGAATTCAAATTATTATTTTATATTCAGTATTCAGTACCTTTCCTAAATCGACCTCCTATATTTCGTATCCCCGAACGCTGTCAACGTACAGACGCCCAACGTCCCGACGTTCTACTTTCCTACTTTTCTACATCACCAACCAACGTCTAAATAATATACTTTGCGACACCCTTCATCGCAAAGCACCACCAAGTATTTGCTACCGTATACAGGGTGTTTCCGAACTTAGCATCCAAATTTGTAGGGGTGGTAGTTCGCATAATTTGAGAGCGATTGGCAGATTTCATTTTTCTAAAAAAATTATAATAAACAAAATAGAGCCATTATAAAAAAAAATCAAAAAGCGGGTTCTACCCTGAGCGCGTAGCGCAATAGTCCCCGGCCGATATCGAAAGACGTAGCGATTGTTTTTCTAGTGCGTATTGCTTTGTTGGGTTGTTTACCTCGCGTTCAGAGAATTGATCCCATCGCTGTGCAGGACCGTACCTGTTTAAAATTTTTAATTAATTTTTAATTATTTTTATTTTAAATATTTTGGAAAAATGAAATCTGCGAATCGGTCTCAAATTATGCGAACTACCACCCCTACAAATTTGGACGCCAAGTTCGGAAACACCCTGTATATGTCCTGACGCAGTACCGTAATAAATACCTTTCTCTCCGCTACGACGCTAGGCCTCTCGATGCAAGGCGATGCTCAA